CCCCCTTGTGCCTGCCCCCCCCGGCCCCGGTAAACCAACAGGACGTTCCAAGTCACGGCGCGGCAGGCTACCCTCGACGAGAAGAGGGCTCGCGAGAACATGCCCGCCGCGGACGGCAGCAAGAAATCTCTCTCCTCCTTGGTGCCCTCAGCGGCAACTCCGGGCCGCGGCCTGACGGCTGCGGCACTAGCAATGGCCGCTGGCGCCCCCGGCAGTGGCGGTGGTGCGGCCGCCGGTGGCGCCGGCGCGGCTGCCGCCGCGGAAGAGAAGTACGAGAACCTTACCGACGGCCAGAAGGAGGTGCGCGCGGTGGGGCAGAAGGTGGCGGTAGCGGAAGCCGCGACGGCCATCGAAGAGCTGTCGAAGGAAGAGGAGCAGAAGCGCCTGGAGCTGGCGGCGCTCGAGGAGGAGCGGCTGCAGGAACTCGAGGAGGAGGCCGCGGCGACGACTAGCGGAGCGGTGGCGGCGGCGGCGGCGGCGGCGGCGGCGGCGGGCGGCGGCGTCGAGTCGGCCGAGCAGGACGCTAAGCTTCAGCAGGTTGCGGACGCGCTTCGGAAGGTGAAGGAGGAGGCAGAAGGCGGCGGCGGCGGTGGCGCCGGTACTGTCGGCCGTGTGGACAGGGGGAAGAAGCCGGTGACCGCTGTTGTGGCGGCGGCGGCTGAGGGCGGCGAGGGGGAGGGCGTCGGCGTCGGCGGCTCATTCCCCACCCGGAGAGTGCAGACCACCGGCTGGGGAGAGAACGGTTCGCACAACGGTCCGGGGTCTGTCAAGGACCGCTTGGGAACGTTTTCGTCCGGTGGCCCGGCTTCGGGGTCGTCGTCGGCGTTGGCTACTTCGCAAGGAGATGTTGTAGCCACGGCTCCCGGCTCGGGAGCGGAAGGGGTGGAGGCCGGTGCACCCACGGCGGAAGCTTTCCCGGCCGACCAAGGGTTTGGTGCTGATGAGAAATCCGCTGTCGGCACGGAGGCGGCGGTGGCGACCGGAGCGGCGACCGGCGCCGTCCGAGAGGGCGGCCGGCGGGTGCAGACAGGCGGGTGGGGCGAGAAGGGTGACCGGACAGGCCCGGGGTCGATCAAGCAGCGTCTGGGAGCCTTCCTTTCCCGCGGCAGCAAGAACCGCTCCTTGCAAGGAAGAGAGGCCGGCGGCGGCGGTGTGGCGGGGGACGAAGTGAGCAGCAGTGGTAACCGACCGCCGGCGAGAGGCAGCGTCCACGACTCGGTGCCGGACGTGCCTTCGGTCGTCGACAAGAGCGGTGGCGGAACGGCGGCGGGGGCCAAGGGGCACGCGAACAGCGGGAAGAAGGGTTCCGGGTCGATCAAGACCCGTCTCGAGGCATTCACGTCTGCCGGGACGTTCTCTTCTGGCGGCAGCAGCAGCAGCAGTGGTAATCGCGAGGGAGCGGGGGCGGGGGACGGCACCAGCGGGAAGAGGAGTCCCGGGTCGATCAAGAACCGCCTCGAAGCCTTCACGTCTGGCGGCGGCAGCAGCAGCGGCAGCGGCGAGGGAGACGAGGCGGGAGCGGGGGCGGGGGCTAGGCACCGACGCGGCAGTGGCACCGGCAGCGTGCACGATATCGTGCCGGACGTACCGTCCGTTGGCGAACGACGTGGGAGCGGTGACCACGGGCGCATAGGAGCTGATCTCGGATGGGGAGAAGGCGCGAACCAGACCGGCCCCGGGTCGGTCAAGGAGCGCCTCGGGGCATTCACGTCTGGCAGCGGCACCGGCGGCAGCGACGAGGGAGAGGAGGCGGGGGCTGGCGCCAGCCACCGACGCGGCAGCGGCTTGGGCAGCAGCAGCGGCAGGAGCGTGCACGATATCGTGCCGGACGTACCGTCCGTTGGCGAACGACGTGGGAGCGGTGACCACGGGCGCGTGAAAACTGATCTCGGATGGGGGGGCGGGAACCAGACCGGCCCCGGGTCGATCAAGGAGCGCCTCGGGGCATTCACGTCCGGCGGCGGCGGCGGCGGCAAGAAGGCCGGTGACGATGGAGCAGCGGACGCCGCCGACGGGAGCGAGGGTCGCCGCGAAGGAGACGGGAGCAGGGCCGCGGCATACCTCCGCCCCCTCCGCGGGTCAGGGAGCCAGGCATCGGCCACCACTTCGGACGAGGGAAGCGAGGAGGCTCGCGACGGGATTTTCCCTGCGTCTGGAAGGGGGCCGCACCGCCGGAGGGGGTCGGGGGGGTCTATCGAGGGCCGCGTCAACGCCTTGTACGGGTCCAAGACGACGGCGGAGGAAGGCTCGACGGCGGCGGCCGGCGGCGGCGGTGGCCGGCAGCGCCGCGGCGACGTTCATGGGGCTGTGGGAGAGTTGGCGGAGGCCACAGGCGCCGGCGCAGAACGAAGAGTCGGCCGCGTGGGGAGTGGCAGCGTCGGCTGGGGAGAAGGCAAGGACCAAGGCGCGCCCGGTACCGTCAAGGACCGCGTCGGCGCGATCGGCAGTGGAGGTCGCGCAGGAGGCGCTCCGGCGGGGGGCCGTCCGCCGCCGCACCAGACCGGTGCCGTGCGAGCGACGGCGGCGGCGCACGGCGGCCTGTCTAGCACCTTCTCCTCTAGCAGCAGCTTGGCCAGTGGTGCGGCGCGCTCCCCGCCACCCAGCTCAACAACTCGCAATGCTATCGGCAGCGGCGCCGTAAGCAGGAGCGATAGCGGCGGCGGCACCGGCTCGACGCCGTCCCCGCCGAAGCGTAAGTCTAGCATGACGCGGGAGGAGGCTGTCGCGGCGCTGGCGGAGGCGGAAGCAGAGGCCGACAGGGAGGAGGAGGAGTGGGCCCTCAAGGTCAAGGAGCTCGAGAAGGAGCGTCGGAAAGCGCGCGACGAGCGGCGAAAGCTGGCCGTCGAGACCGCCGAGGCGGCCGGGTTGCCGCCGCCGCCACGCCCGTCCTCCGGCAAGTGGCAGAGCGCCAAGGGTGCTCTTGGTGACGCCGGAGGAGATGCCGCCGCTGCCGCCGATCAGGACGGCGGTACCGAGGCTGGTAGCCCGGCAAGGCGCCCGGGAGGGCTCGTTGACGTGCGGGCGAGAGCGCTCCGACTCGAGGAGGACGCCAAGAAGCGAGCGGGCGACGCGAAGAAGGAGTTGCCGTCGGCTGTCCGGCCGCTGTCGAGGAGCGCGTCCGGCGGGGTTAGCGGTTCCGCGTCGGCAGTCCCGCCGCTATCCAGGAGCGCTTCTGGCGGGGTGAGCGGTGCCGGCGGGAGCACCGACAGAAAGCCGCGCAAGAGGTCTATGAGGAAGTCTGGGTTCCCGCTTGGGAGCTTCGACGGCGCCGGGTCGGCGACGTCTAAGGACGAAGAGGGCGGCGGCGACGGCGAGGACACCACTTCGAGCACCTGGCCGAAGCCTGGGCTCGCGTTCGTGGCAGCGTATGAGGACGCGGACGGCGGCATGGAGGCCAAGAAGGTGTGTTCGGTCTGTCCGTGATTTCTTGTTTGCGTGAGTGTTTCCAGCAGGCGGCTTTATTGTTGTTGCTTCTCGTACGGATGTTAAAGATTATTGTGTGGGCGCACGCGCGATTTTGCTAGTCAGATTCTGTCTGTTATTCCCGCCCTTTCTTTCCTTGTTTGTGTTGTTTTACTATTGTTGGGCGTAGCTGCTCTCAATTTGTTACCATTATTTACTTGGTTACAATATCGGGGAGGCCGGTAGACACGAGTACTTGAGGCCATTCACCACCTGCGATGCCCCCCCCCCCCCCCCCCCCCCCCCCCCCCCCCCCCCCCCCCCCCCCCCCCCCCCCCCCCCCCCCCNCCTTTTCTCGCCTTTATTTGATACCAATCTTGCATCGTTCCTTCCATTTTGTTGTGCCTGCTTGCGCCTGCGGCCGTTGTCCTCCGCAGCCGATCGAAGGCTGGGATCCCGCAGAGGGCATGGTACCCTGGCGTTCTCCGGAGCGTGCCCCCGAGTATGGAGGCACCGAGGATGACAGTGACCCCAAGAAGCCGGACACGTACATTCGCAGCGCTAGCTTCGGAGTAAACACGATGGAACCGCGTAATTCACCGTGGGGGAGCCGGTGAGCGAGGGGGGGGGGGGGNGGGGGGGGGGGGGGGGGGGGGGGGGGGGGGGGGGGGGGGGGGGGGGGGTTCTCGTGTGTTATGAATGCATTCGCGGTTAGACCTGACGACGTGTCCCCGAGAGGACGGGCCATTGTCCCACAGGACCGATCACCGATGGCCAATTGTTCCTTCTTCCTACGTTGCCAAAGGTGGCTCAAGAATGTTCTTTAGCCTATTCATCCTACCGACATTACTTCCTGCGTATTTGGTTTTTGTTCGAAGACGGGGATTGTGGCAAGTCTACCGCTCTGGACGTTTTTTTTCTTTTGTCCACCGTGGCCGCCAAGGCATTCCCTCGCGAAACAAACCGCTCAGATCCGTTCAACCAACCTGCTCAACCCCCCCCCCCCC